GGACTTTCCTGGCTTACAAAAAAATACTGAAGAGCAACAACCTCAGCCAACCAGCCACCCCACCCAACCCATCTGTTCCTTGCTGCAGCGATACAGAAAGCACACCTTTCTCCAACACTTATGGGAACTGCCCTTTTCTTCATGCAGAGAAAGTTGCTCTGTGCCTCTGTCTCAATGGAGAAACTCCCCTAGAAGTTCAGGAAGCATGGCTTTGTGGGGAGGGACTTGGGATAGAGGGTCTGCCCCCTGACATCATCTGAATGTTGAGGATGAGCTGAACAACAATCCAGCCCCAGGACCAAAAGAGCTTCTTAACCCCTGCTTTTGTGATAACGCAACCTCATGTAGGACTAACTCTACTCCTAATTTCCAGAGTCAAGAATCATCTATTTTCAGCAATTTTATCTTGTGTTTTAGGATAGTTAGGATGAAGAGATGGCCAAGTGCCTACTCTCTCTGACCCAGCAAATTCCCTTTGGTACTGCCTCTACTGGCCAACCCAGGGAGATCCCAGGTGGACTAACCAATTGATCTGAGCTGGTGGGCTTGCCTGCTCAACAGAGGAATGTGGCAGAAGCTTTCACATATCCACCTAGATTCATCATCATTTCTCACTTACTGACACATCATTCAGCTGTCTTTACTACCCAACTCTTTTAATTATGCCAGCAAATTTATTAGATGTGGCTTTGAGTTTGAGTTGTGACTGGGCAAGAAGGAAGAGATGTGTTTAGCCATTTCCCCTACTGTGGAATGGCTCTAGATCCACATTGTATAACCCCCCTCCCTGCACACACACACTTCTAGAAGCCAAGGGACAAGCAGATGGCTGAGCAGATACACGGCCAGTGTTAAATTAACCTTCTACTTAAATGCCAGCAAGTTTCACATGTCCACTGGGTTCCTTTTCTGTAGCTTTCCTTGTCAGTTGACTCTTCCTTAATTCCAAAGAGAATCATACCTTAACTTTCAGTTGCTTCCCCTGGTGTCCCTAAGCAGCATAAACCCAAGCTTCGAGGCAGCGCAAACCCTTCTCATTTACTGTAGCGCAAATACCATCTTAAGCAGCCATCCGGGCAGAATTTGCACAAGGAGTTATAGTGTGGAGGAAAGTAGCTTGGCCAAGCACACAAGACCTTTAAGGGTCAACCCACCTGTTAACTTACTGGTGTGACTGCTTACCTTTGCATGGCTGGATCATATGCATCTCTAGTAAATGAACCATATGGTTTCCCTTTACCAACATTATTGGAACTACACACAAACCAGGTGTTCAGAAGTAGCTTCCTTGTCACTTGGTAGCACACAGATGCAGTGCAAGTGGTGGCAAAGATTTGCAGCACAACACAGACATCAAGCTACTCCAATGAAGCACTTCATGGAGGAACTCCAGAGCCACTGGTGTCTTTTCTGCAGCTTCTGGCACCACTTGGATCCTTTGACATGAGACATATCAGAACAGCCTAAACATGACTTAGTTTAATGGCTACATCCTCTGAGAAAGGGTTTAAAAAACCACAGACAACATAACAGCCCAGAGGGAGAACAGGGGATCTAACATTTAAAATCTTCAGTATAGCTATTGCAAATGAATTAGATGGTGTTTTGGGGAAAGGGGGGTTACTCATCATCCAAAGCAGCTCCTTAGCAAGCCACTCCATTTTGCCTATACTCAACAAGAAAATTGAGAATTTGCAAAAGAAAAATCTGATGGTTCGTTGCACTAACTTTCTCCATGTTCACATTTCTTCTAGTTTTAGTTTCTGACCATTTAGTCTTTGTCATGTGTTCTAGCTATTTGACTCCCTAGAGTAATGACTAACTGAATGATGTTATAATTTACCCATGGAAACTGATGTTAAAGCCTTTATAGAATAGAGGATTGATAGCCTGCAACAACTGCAATAAGCAATTATTGCAACCCAATACTAACTGAACTATTCAATTGTATTTTATCATTGCAAACAGGGCTAGATCAAACACATGCAAATGTACATGCACACACAATTTTCATTATCTGAAATCGTATAAATGACATTTTTAAACCATTGTATTTAAACCACTATATTAGCCATCACAAAATACAGGAACATAAAAACACGTACAGGAAGCAGTCTGCTGGAAGCTGAAAGGGGAAACATATCATTTCTCAATGAATGGTTTAGATTCTGCCTCTTGCATCTTTCCTTATCCCTCTCCGTGGGCTATACTTAATACATTCAGTTCCTCCTCCCTCATAGTTCCCACTACTATCCTTGCATTTGTTCACAACTGATAAACACCTCCCTGTTCTAGCATAACCTAGTCTGCCTCCACCTGTTCTGGTACTGAAACAAAAAAATGCTTTCAAGATCTATGATAAGATGGCCCCACCACAGTAGCTTGAGAAGTCTGCATGCCAATGCCATTTGGGACGTGCCAGAGCCGTAGAAGAGACATGACCACATGCATCCATCATGTTGAAAAACACAGATAAGATGGTCCAAGATTGGCTGTACACAAACCAAATCCTTGATTCCACACCTTTGGCGGAGTTAGCTTCTTTGAATATTAATCCTAAATAGATATATTTGTGCTTCCCACAAATCTGATTTTTTTCCTTTGAAGAAGCAGCACAAATTATACAAAGCCTGAGCATTGCTAAACAACTTTGGTGGCAGGACTGGTAAATACAGTTTAAGAATTCAGAAGCTACCCAGAGGCAGGCAAGACAAGAGATCTGTGTGTAAGTAACAGAAGGAAATTCTTGCCCCCTTCTCCTACACTCACGAAAGTACGTGTGATCATGTGTTCATAATGCCTCAGAATTCCTGGGAAACGAGCACAGGAGATTGCTCCAAGATGCTGATGTAATCAGACATGCGTGTTGAGGCGCAAGACAGCAGCGCTGACAGCTCCAATCTGGCATGTAATAACCAGCAGTAGCTCCTGCATGGCTCTCCAAGCAGGTTTTCCCTGTATCCCTCTTCCACTGTAGAAAAAACTAGTAAAAAGGTGGAACTACAGGTCAGGAACAGGGTTGAGACCTCAGAAGCGTTATTTTCTCTGTGGTTATAAGTACACACCGGGGGATGGTGGAGGACAGGAAGGCCTGGAGGAATGTTGCCCATGGGGTCACAATGGGTCGGACACGACTTCACGACTACCAACAACAAGTACACTACAACGTTGGGGCACCATTGCCATTATGATGCTACCCAGCTACATGGTAGTATGCTTGCTAAACAGTACCAGTGGGTTTTTGCGGGGAGGGGGGTCCTGCCTCAAAGGTGTTGGACTTGAGGTCTGGGAGCCCCCTGGGGCTCACTGGATGGCCATGCCCCCTTTTCCATATCACCAAGTAGTTCCTGCTCCCTCTATCACCTACCATTTGTTCCCAGTTTTTATGCATCTTCCTCCACTTGGAAGTTGAAATGCTTTTCCTACGGCTTTGTTATTGGCATTATTAATTTTACGCTAAAGTTAACTGGTATAGTTGGCCTATCCCCTTTGTCTTCAGTTCCACCTACCACTCTTGAGAACTTCTCTACACCTGGATTCAGTCCTGAGGCTGAAAGAAGTTCAACACCCATGCTCTACCTCATACGAACACAAAGTTAATCCAGTCTCTGTATCATCTTGGAAGACTGTTTATTGACAAGTATCACAGAGGTGTGAATGCATGGACACCCCTAAAACTGATCAGTTTTTTAACCACCAGAATGTCAGATGACACACAGCAAAGCTGATACTGTAAAGCAAACAGAATTTTATTGCTATGCAGGCAACTCAACATTTGGATGAAGCTTTTTAAAAATAATCTGCACAGTAGAAATCAAGAAGGGGAAGGTAATACATAAATCACAGACCACTCTTTCAAGGCAAGTTGAAAGGATCTTATATAAAACTGAGCATTCCCTCCCCTCTGTCTCTCTTGGAAAGAGTTACATCATCTTCTGTAAATCTTTAAAGCTGATTGGCTTGCTACCATCATCATTTAGTCATGACACAACTAACAGAACAGGTACAAAATTAGAAAGCCCTCATTGCTCTACAATTGCATTATAAGTAAAGCAAATATCTCCACTAACTCCATTAGCTCTTTCCAGTTAGTGTTCTTCGGGAAGCTGCCATAGAATTAAGACTTTCTCCCTGCTTGATTCACTTCGTGTGCATGTGGCAGTCCAGTAAAAAGCTATCCTGCTCTTCCACAGTCTAAGGGTGGACAGCAAACAGACAAATGAGAACTGACCTTGTCTGCCTCCTAGATTCTCAAGTGGCTGGCCTGCATCCCACTGCCATTTAAGAGGAGACCAAATAAGCATATCAGAAAACAAACTACACAGGCTGTGCCACAGATTCCTTTGCATGCCTTCAGTATCCACTCCTAACCTGCATATTGCTCTCAAAACAACCTTTCCAGTACAACTTAAGTTATACAACCACAGTAGGAGCATCAACCAAGGCAGTGGCTGAAGGGTAGTTTATAGAGCTTGCCCTTTAACTTGCTTTCCACTAGGTCCTCTTTCCTGTATCAAGGGGGTAACCAGAGGTGAAAATACTTAGAGCAATGCAACAGAACCTCTGGTTTGTCAAGGGCTCTTTTCTCAAGCACTTCAGTACAGTACACCATGAAAATAATGCCAAGGACAATACTTTGGGGAGGTGGAATTTTGCCATTCAGAGCATGCACAGATTACCCAAAATGGTAACTTAGAATTCCCTTCTGGTATAAACACACACAAGAGGTAGTTATCCGTATATGATGCAGCTACAGTCCATGAAAACTTACACCATACTAAATTTAAGAAGACATGTTATGCTTTGTCCTTTTTATCATAAATTAGTAATTATGCACGGTTGAAATCACATAAACGCTTAACATCCAAAAAGGAAAAGAAAGAGAAAAAAGCATGGGACATGCATATACAGACAGTATTATCACTCATCATCATATACATTGCCAATGTGCCCTGCTAAGAGATTCATGTTAGCACAGGAAGCCCAGAAATCTCCTTTACCATTATAGAAAATTGTCATACGGGGCGTGGCATCCAAATCCATAGCAGAGCGTCTGGAGGGGTATCCCATTATTGTGACCACAAAGAGAACCATCAGAAAAAAGGCCACATTCCTTTTCATTCTTCCTGGTCAAGCCAAGGCTACGGCCCCACTGGGCAACACAGCCCTTTTCTACAAGCAAGACCTAGAGTGTTGAACGATCTTTCCACTGATTTCTGTGGGTGTCACTGCAGGCCACAGAGGAATTCCTGAAATACAAAATAAAAGGGTTAAAGAAAAAAAAGGATACACTACAGCTTCACATTATTTACTTAAACCAGGAGTGGGCAACTTGTGGTTCAGCTGATGTTTTGACCAATAATTCCCATAATCTTTCACCACAGGCTAGGGATGATGAGAGCTGTAAGTCAAAACATCTGAAATGCCACAAACTGCCTATCCCAGGCTAAACCAAAGAGTTAGACTTACCGCCAATGCACACAATGCTGGATGGCTTGCCTTGGTCCATCATGACTGATTTTATTTATCATCATTATTGCACCCTGACTTGCAGGCCAAGCCTCTTTTACTTCTTCTGTACCCCAAGCTGCTCCATAGCAATAATTCATTCTGGCCTCATTGGGCACTCCATAACCCTCTTCCTTCAACCTTGCCTCTCAGTCCTACCTTTCCCAGTCTTGCACCATCACTGTGTACTGCACACCACCTTGTTTGTACTCATTTTGGCCTATATTTCATATTTTCCTTCTGCTTTGTTTCAGGCAATCAACAGTCAGCTGCCAACTATGTGTCACATGAAAGAAATTAGCTAGGACCTCCGCATAGCCATTCATAAAACAGAGCTGGCAAGATCCTTTAAAGGCAAATATTTTTTCCTGTCCCAATTCTGAGAGTTGCCTTCATTAAATCCCAGTGCTACAAAAAGATTAACCGCCCCACACACACACTGCATTCTCCAGAGGCGAGTCCTCCATGTTAGAAAAACTGAAAGCTGCTCTGCTGCAGCAGGAGCAGCATTACAGTTCTATCTGCTTCATTAAATACCATGTATTAAACATTTGGGCTGAAATGGTCCAAGGAAAAAACAACATGCTTACTGTGATTTTTCCTTGTCTTCCTGATTTTATGTAAGACACTAAACCCTCTAAACGCAACATGAGGAGTGCTTAAAAGAGCACTGCATTGCAAGATTATTTTCCATTCTTATGGTATGGAACATCAGTGCTTTAATGTGAACCTACACAAATGGTAATTGTTCATTTCATCCAAAATCAATCACAGGGCTGCGTTTGATTTCAAAATTCTTCTTAGGAATTAGCACATGGCTCAGCCATCCAAGTTACTAACACAGCAGGACCCCTGGATTGGCTGGTTCAGTTACCATGTTTTCCGTTAACCACAGCTGACCTCAGCCCAAAAGAGAAGTCATAAAGTGCCATAAAGTGCCAAAGAGAAGTCATTAAGTGCTGTAAAGTGCCAAAGGAAGTCTTAAAGTGCTAAGGTAAGAATGAACAAAATTGGGAAAAAGAAATGTATATATTTTACTTATTCTGAGTATATAGTTTATTTCATAGTTCGCCACTTGCCGCCACCCACAGATGGCCACTTGCTATTGTATAGTGTATTGCATAGTGTTTGCTATTATACACAATTTCAGGCATCTGCTGGGGGGCTTGGAACCAATCCACATGGATACAGCGTCCTGCTGTACTTAGCCAATTTAATACTAGGTACTGATGTAAAAAAGCACTGCACGTGCATTATGACAATAATCTTTACAGCTGCCTGTAAAGTAGGTTGGTATTATCACCCCCATATTTCATGCTAACATAAATAAGATTTGAAACAGGAATTTTGGGATTTGCATTATTAGCCATTATACTAATAACTGAACTTCAAGGGAAAATCAAGATTAAAATATAATAAAATAAATCTGCACTTGTTTTCTTTGATTAATGTCTACCTTCTTCCAAATTAGGCTTTTTTATTATTTTTGCCCAAATGCAGACAGTATATCTCAGGAGAAAATTCAAAAGAAAAATTCAGAATAACTCCCAACCACCACCATCACCTCCAACATACAAAGTAATGGATCTATAGTTCATAGAAGTCACTTCTGCAAAATGCTAAATAGAAAATGGCAAGAATGCAATACTTTTCAATGCCTGCTGTTGCAGCCAATCACTAGGTGGCCCAACCTACCCACCTGTATTGAATTACAAGTGCACACAGCTTTAACAACTGTCAAATGCATCAGGAGATACAGCAAGAGTCTCACAGTTACAGTCAGTCCAATCAAAAACAACAAAGGAAATTTCAACCCACAAGGCTACTGAAGCCAAGGAAAACCATAAAACCTTGGAGCCAAAAAGGATCCTGGAGGTAAACTATGTAATCTCATACTCAATATAGGATATACAGTACAGGATGCAACTACAGCTCCCCTAACAGATGGTCCTTCAGTCTATACTCCAGTGATAGAACACTCACCACCTCCCAAGACAACCTGATTTATTGTCAAGCAGCTCATGTCATAAGGAAGCTTCTTCTAATGTTTAGCCAAATTCTGTTTTCTTGCAACCAATTTCTATGGTCCACACTTTGAATAAGGCTAACACAACTCTGCCTCCTCTTTGCATCCCCAGCACAATTACTGAAACCTATTAGTATTTTAGCACAGCTCAAGCAACTATCCAGCATGAGACTAGCAATACATCAAACACCCTGACTCAAGGTCAAATGTGGATTCTGCATCAAAAATGGGAGATTTCCTTAAGCAAAGTGGCAATAATCCAGAGTAAACGTCATGCTGTCTTTGCAGAGGTTGCCAATACCCCAAGGTCAGTATGATGTCGGCTCACATAACCAACACAGACACACAATCACTCGAATAAATCATGTACAAGGGTGTTTCTTAGCAGCAATTGCTCAGACATGTGCTATATTAATTAAAACTTGCTACAGCAATGTGTTGAAGAACAGGGCAAGAGGTAGAAAAAGTCAGCAAATTCCTTCTATCAGTTAGAAATAAAGTCACAAGTTTAGTAGGTGAATATTACTGCTAAAAAGAAGTGTGATCAGAGCATATGTATTGTTCATCTCACTTCCTCTGAATTATGTTATTTAGAATTCTCAAGTCATAATCAGAGATCTGTGCCAAAATAAAGTGATGCATGTGTAAGTATGAAAATTTCCATAAATGTGTTTGCATAATTATCCCAATTGCTACAGCTGAGATAATACTTTTTGTAAAGTTTGGAATGATGTATAACTGTGGAGGATGATTCCAAAGCCCTTCAACCCATTAAGTTCTCCTTAGGCCAGCGTTCCTTCACCACTTACGGGAGTTTGGTGCAGCCCACTGGTTGAGTCACAACACTGTTCTTTTTAAGTAAGGCACTCTTTTTGGCTTAATTGGCTGCAGCAGCAATAGTGAAAGAGGCTAACTAAGGCTATAATAGTTTGTGAGGACACCAGCTCACAAGGGGGAGTCCCAGTTTAGGAAGTATCTAAAAGTGCAAACCACCAAGGTAATCAGAAATTAAGCAGAGGAATTAGGCACCCAAGTGAGTCTAGCAACAAGATTAAGAGGGCAGGGCAATCACCCCCACACACATACACACTTCTGATAGTAAATACTCATTTTTTTAGGCAAATTCAAGAACAGATAGCTCTGCAAGTAGAAAGACAGAGAAGTTGATGACTGAGACATTAATGGATGATTGTAGTGTCCCACTCCCAAGGTGACAGCTGCACCGCTGTCACAGAGAAGGTTGGTCTTGGGGAAGGAAGAAGAAAAAGAGCTCTTAGGAAAAAAACCATTCCATAGGAGACGAACAAGATACTCTTGTGCTGAGATCATGCCTCTGGGGTTGGGGTTCCTGGTAGTGGGCAATCCTGTTGTTAAAGTGGCACAGGCATCTGGGTCTAGAATTGTTGCAGGCACCACATAGCACCTTGCCTGCCTGGTACAAAGGCTGTGGATGTCACAAATCATCTAGATAGCCTGTACTTAATGCTGGAGTGGAATCAGCAGTCATATAATGGAAATGGTTGAGTGGTCCTGGAAGCTAAATTTAGATTGCCAGGTAGGTGGTTGAAAGCCAGGACCTCAAAAGTAGCTTTGTCTGAAAAGTTACCCAATTTCATGTCTACAGCCAGCTAGACTGGCAAAGCTGATGAGATGACAATGCACGGAAGACATGTTAGATTTGTGAGGCATTAGGGAACATTTTGAGACAAGACAAGCCTGTACCAAAAGGGATGATTGCTGCTTGAATTAGATTGACGCTTAAAATCAAAAAGTGGCAGAGCTGCCAGAGGTAAGCAGTAAGGTAGACAAGTTCTCAGAAGAAATTACTTGGGGTAGTAAAAACAAAACCAGGCAACAAAGAGCACGACAAAGGAACTCTGGGGGATTGTGCATTAAAATGACAAAGATGGCTCTGTGTAAACAAGCATAAAATTATGCATAATAGAGTAAAAAAAACCCATATATACCTAACCCATATATACCTTCCCAGACTCTTAGATAATGTATGGTGGTCCTTCTCCATAAGCACCTAAAGGAGATAAAGAGGGTGGCTACAAGAGGAAGAGCCTTCTTGACCATGGCACCCTGTCTGTGGAATCAGCTCCCCAAACAGGCACTAATGTTTTAAGTTCTGGCAAAGACCTTATTTTTTGCCATTTTAATTGTTGATTGTGATCTTATTGGTTTTAAACTTTTTGGTTCAGGTATATTGGTTATGATGCATTGTTTTCTTATAGTTATCATGCCTGTCAAATTTCATTGTTAAGTTGTTCTATGACAAGCTAGGTTGTTTTAAATTGATTGGTATTGATTTTTAAAGTATATTCTGTAAACCATTCTGAAAGTTAGTCTAAACAGTATAGAAATACCTTAAATAAAATAATGTATGAATAAAGGTCTTGAGAAACTCCTACGAAGTAAGATAGCAATATTGCAGGCTTTGTTGTTTAGAAAAACAACATGTGAAGAGGACATGACAGAGGTGCATATAATTATGAAGGTGTGGAGACTTTTCTCCTTCTCTCAAAGTACTAGAGCCTAAGGGTCATCCTTGAAATGACAGAAGATTTAGGACATGTAAAAGGATGTATTTCACACAGCACATACTGAAATAACAACATTTGCTACTGCTCTGAGTGTGTTGTGCTAATCGAACGGTATAGAAATCCCTTGAATGAATGCATGCATGCATGCAGTCGTGATTACAAACTTAAA